TTTAGGATTGACTTAATGTAATGTTTTTGTGACAGGAAAGTAATCGACCGTGTTGAAGTGAAATCACATTAGAAAAATCAATTACGCTTTAAATGCCCATTTCCCATCTACAAGCTCTACCTCGCAGCGTTGCCTATGGGGATGATATGAGAAGATAGTTTTAAAAGGTCTTTGAGAAATTAAAAACTTTTCAAGTGTAGGAAAAGAAAAAATAGGAATGGTCCTCCATGGGAAACTTGTTTAGAATTATTTGATTGGATTTAACCTTCAAAATTATTTTAAAAAACTTTTCATGAGTAAAAACAAAACAAAACTCTGGCATAAGTTTAAAAAAACAAACAAAAAAAGTATTTTCAACAGTCTCTGAATCCTGACCCTGTTGCCTCTCTAATGCACGGTTATCCATGATCCCTACGGAAGGCTGAACAGATAGACTTTAACTCCATTTTTGCAAAGAGACTGTGTGCCTATCTACCTCAATATTGCTACCACTTCCCTGTGTCTAAGTGAGAGCAACTTGTTTCCATTAGCATGTAGCATTTATTCTGGCATGGGAATAAAACTCGGTAGGACAAACACTGATGTGATAGACAAAGCAGAGCTCCCCAGCGTGCATTTTCCTCAGTTATCCTACCAACACAGAGGCCACACCTGGAATTCTCAGTGTTAGGATCCAGGTGCAGTCCTATTGGTTCTTTTACTGTTGCCTTAAGAAAATTATGTCCTTGCACCCAGACTACCCAAGCTAGCACAGTCAATGCTCCCACCCAGCCAGGGTTGTAGATGCTCTGGGGTGTGAGTGACCAGGCACTTGTCCATCTCATCTCCATCAGAGAGAAATTCAGAGCCTTTTTTTTAAAAAAAGATTTTTAAATTTATTTTGTTAGAGACAGAGAGGAAGGGAGAGAGTGAGAGAAAGAGAAACATCGATGTGACAGGGAAACATTGATGTGAGAGTGAAACATGCCAATGTCCTATTGATGGTGGATCTTCCATGTCTTCAACCAAAGAAAAGGATGTAGATTCACGGGGGATGAAATGAACAACCCGAAGTAGAGCCTAACAGCCACCTCAAGCTGTCAACTTGACCGTGCCAGTTCAATCGCACTGTTATTTCCAAAATCATGTGTTGAGTATCAGTTACATGCCAGGCATGGGGCTTCATGATTCCCACACATTGCCTGTCTTGTCTCAGCAACCCTCAACAGTAGATATTAGCATCATAAGTTAGTTTGGAAAGTGAAAACAAAGTGTCTTAGAGCCTAAGTTCCTTATCCTCAGGTGATAAGAAGCAGAGGGAATTCAAGGCTGTTTGATTTCAAAACCTATGTCGATTGAATACAAGAATCATCACAATCTCAGATTTTAAATGAAAAAAATGGGGTCTTGATTGGAAAACAATTTCAATTGTTGACACAAGTGTGGAGAAATCCCTCTGATAAACAATTTAAAATAAAAACTGAAAGTCAACTTCTATATTAATGTAAAAAGTTAGTTGAGGTATCCTTTAAGTAGATTGAGTTTAGGAATGTGAAAATTGTCACTTTGCAGAATTACTGCTCTCTTACAGTTTCCAGAAAAGTATATCTGTAAATCAGTATTAGTTTAGGCTATCGTGTTGTGCTAAGCACACAGTTTCAATTAAGTTGAGAAACTTTAATGGGGATCTTTGGCAACCACATTAATAAATCTTTATAATGCAAATGGAAGCTGAAGGAAAAATCTTCTAAATCACATTGCTGCTTAATTAGATTTGGTTCAGTTACATTTCATTGACTTTTATAGAGAATACCCATGACATACTCTAAAACACAGATAAATCAAAGCACAAAAGATCAGAGGGTACCACTTGATAAAAAGCCACCCACAATGGACCACAGAGGATAATGCATATAGAAATCACAAGGAATTCCAACAAATACTGAACATAGAACATGCAAGGACCCAACAAACATTCCATAGAAAGACATCTATTGGTTTTAAAGTCTTGCTTTTGAGAATCCTTGTTTTTTCCATTAGGGCAGTACCTCTAGACTATTTGATTTGTGCATTCACCCTCTTCCAATAGCCAACATTTCTTTCCTAGTTATTTTATGGCCTATGCAATTTCCCCCTGTTCTTTTGAGGACCACAGAATAGGACACCTTTGGAAAGAGTATACATGAAAGCCACAGTGTGAATTGTGGTGATAGTCTACATACCAGTAGCCCATCGTATATAGATCAGCAGCCTGCCATAGTCATATGGCAACTGTGATCACGAAATAAAGTCACATCATTTGAGGAGGCAAGCAGGAGTGAAACCAAGCACATCGGGTTGCAGCAGTTCTATTTTAGCTCACTTAGTGTCATCACAAGTGGTCACCTGAGATCTATAGATGCAAAGTGATGGTGTGTCTACAAAGGAAGACAGCCACTTAATTTGCTCCAGTAGAGGAACAGGGAAGTGCCAGAGTTTATCCGCAGTGGGAAGCAGAGCAGGTATTTATTCCCTCACCACATACTCCCTTACTGACCCAAAGGGGTGACCCCGAGGTTGACTCCCCCAGTCCATTCTATTTGTCTAGCCTTGTTATGACCTTGAAATAAAATCTTGCTTCCCCTTTGGATCTACACCATGTTCAAATACTCTGCTTTGATTGTCTCTTTGGCTAGCATAGTTTGCTCCTGTGTTTCTTCTGGAACAAAGCTAACATTGCTTATTGCCTTCCTGGATGTCAACTGTGTTTATTTGGCCTTCCCAGTTCATTGACCACATCCTGCAGGTCAGATGGGCCCTGGGATTGAACGATATTCAATACTATGTAGACTGGAGCCTGCCAAAAACAGAAAGATAAGGTAGAACCCAGCATAAAGCTAAGTAACAGAGCTGTATATTATTTTAATGACTTTGGAGGGAAAAACAAATACTGATTGTGATCACATGGGCTGAGGTCCAAGTTCCTCACTATAGCTTCCCTGAATCAGTCAAGAGTGGAAAGTTGGCCCTTTGCACCAACTTGTCTTTGACACATAGTGGATCACTTTGTGTGTTTCCCAGCCAGCTTGGAAGACCTGTGGCTCCATCCAGCAATGGGCTAAGGATGTGGACCATGAGAGCTGATGAATGGTTCATGGGTGGCATCACCGAGGATCAGACAGCACCAGTAAGACAGAGACCTTGGCTTAGTTCCTCCAGTTGACTTAGGAAAAACCACTCAATAACTCTGAGCTTGTTTCCTCCACTGAAGAGTGTATGAAGTTAGACTAAGTGGCCTCCCAAATTTGATGGTTCTACCCTCCTCTGAACTAGCACACTAGTTCTGCTTCTCCAGAAAGCAAATTCTATTTAAATTTTGCATGTTGTTAGAAGGGTTCAGATAAAACACTGGAATAGAATGTTTAGGTGTTTTGGGCTGTGAGGTTGGACTGCATCCTGCAGATCTATAGATAGGGTCCCTGCAGGTGAGAAGTGGCAAGGAGCTGCCCAGTTCTCCCTCCCGGGCCAGTAGGACAAAGACCATGCCCTCTATGCAGGTGGCTTTACCCCCCTCCCTCTCCCCCCCCCGCCATTTCTACACCAGTCCTTCCCTCTTGCCTAGCTGTAGCTGAAGCCTAACTTACTCTGTGAAAACTTCCCTGGTTATTAATTAGAAATCCTCTGCTTGCACAGTGTCTGCCCTGCAGTTAGCATTTAGTCTCCACTCACTTGTTGCTGGTTCCCGTGTGTTTTTCTTGTCTTATGAGTGCATACATGGAAGGAGATGCACCTTACACTTCTGTATTCCCTATATTTGAAGTTTGGTTCATTGACTTAAAGTAGGGGTTTGGAGACAGAAAGCCAGTATATGATGACAAGGTAACTGTAATGAATTGTTGTAATTGTTCAATCTGAGCCTTTATTCAAGTGTGTTCTCATGAAAGCCTGTTGTAATGTAAATTTCCCAATGCCAGTGAAAATGACATGTAAAGTGCTTATGACAATTTTGGGTTTCTCAAGCTCCTTCCCTCACTGTGTAGCCAGTTCTCACACCAACTTTGCATGAGTTTACAGTAGAGGGAACTGAGGCTCAAGCAAGTAAAGTGACCATTTGATTTCCTATCCCCTCGAGTGTGGCATCCCCTGAAACAATATGCACATGTTCTTCCACAAGCTTTGGTGACCCAGCTTTGGACATATAGAAATATCTCCAAATAATGCATATGGTTCCTTAAAGGAAGTCACCTTTAATTTTACATTAAAGAGGAAACTATCTGGAAAGAAATGAACTCAGGTGCTTCCCTGACAACCTGTTTCTGTCCTAGCTCTTTAAGGTCTACAGTGTGGTTCGATTACAATGAATAGCCAAGGGTCCCAAACCACCCGCTAAATGTCGGGTTTCCAGGATGGAGAATTCCTCTGTGGAGGATCAGATGAATGAACGCTTAAAGTTCATTGTCATCGAATTTCATGACTATTGTTACTTGGAGGGAACTTGAGCAGGAGGTCAGGCATTCTCAATACACTGCTGTTTTGGCTGAACAGAGCTGTGTGTGTTTAGGGGGCACATAAAAATGTGGTAAAAAAATAAACATAGCAATAAAAGGAAGATTTGGTGAGTGGCCAATTGTATTGAGAAGACTCCACTCCTGTCCTGTGAAGTGAGGTTAGATTTCTGACAACCTTGGACAATGAGCAGGCAGTTCCCTGAGCAGCCAAGACTGGCTGAAAAATGATTTGTAATCGGCAAAGATTTCTCTTCCCTCTGAAATTATATTTCAGAGTGGTAAAATATAATTGGCAACAGTCAAATTTGGCCAAATCATCCCTTTATGTGCCAGTTTCTAGTTATCTCCCTGGTTGCTTCTGGGGACCATTTTAATCCTTTTGCAAAGACTACGGGTTCCTATGACCCATCTCCTGTCTCTCACTGCAGATGGCTGTCGTGCTATGTGTGGTATTTGAAATATTAAAATAGTTCAGATAGATTAAATATTTGAAATAGAAGCATGGCCCACAATGACTGGATTCTTGAGGCAGTGTTTCAGGTATGCATGATTTTATTTCAAATGTGTCCAGTAAGATTTTCCACTTGGGGTGAATATTTTTCCTCTTCCTGCGTATGATTATAAACAGTATTTCTTCATCTCATGGAGTTCCTTAGAAAGTTCTAAGTAACTTAACAGAAGACAGAAATGAAACTGTGGGCAGATTAAATAACAGGAAGTTTATATCACAGCGGGGTGCTCACGCATCCCAGCCTCAGGGGGACACACAAGTGACTACAGGGTGAAGAATTAAACCCGGTCATGCAAGTCGTCGTACGATCACTTGGTATCCTTTGGCAGTTCTGGCATTCCCTGTCACTAGCACACATGATAAAATGAGTCCGATGACTTTCGTGAGTGGAAAACTGTCTTTCGTTTTTGGTGGTGGGTTGACCAGCAGAGAGAAGACAGGAACAGAAACCGGCTGTCGGAGGAGCATCTCAGGATATCGGAAGAGACTGTCCACGTGTCCCCACACTTTGCTCTGAGCCCCAGGGAGTGCACACCTGGCGTCTGCAGGGTTGTGTGCCCCACTGAGGCCACAGCAGCCCTGCCTCTCACCTAAGGGCGCTGGCTTCTCTGTGGCCACCACCCCACCAGCACAGAGAGCACATCTGAACCAAGAGGGCAGTTTGAAATCACTAGAACCTGCAATATTAAATTTTTGTTTTCATGAGCCAAAGGTCATAGCACAAATGAGGTCTACATGTTGTCACAGGGGGCCATGGAAAGACACATCTGTAAGTGATGCTGCCCTGCCAGGGAGAGAAACAGAGATAGAGGGCACAGCGAACATGTACCGGCGGTGCAGGGCGCTCCTAGGGAATATGAGCGGTGCCACGGACACGGAAATGGGTCAAGCCGCGGGCGTCGAGTTTCCTGCCTGCTCTTTGGAGCTGCTGTTATGGAAAGAAGCTAAGGGCAATGGGACCAGGTGGAGGGGCAGGTGGGCAGGGAAATGTCACCAGCTCAACATTTGTTCTAAAGTGACTTAGAGATGATCATTCATTTATGATCGAAACTTAATCCCGAACAGCTTTTGCTCCCTCTTTCTCCCTGTAAACACATCTGTTCATAAATAACTTAAATGTCTCCTTGGCATTCAGGATTCAGTTCCGCTGGAGTAAAAAAGGATGGAGGATGCTCAGCGTGGAGGAGGAGATGGCGGGTGTCTGAGTGTGGAGAGGCCTCGTTGCAAACATCAGCCATCGGAGACTGGTGGGGTGACCCAGCCGTACTTTTCATGTGTCTTCACCAAACTCTTAAAGGTGGCTTCCGCTTCCTTGCGACTGAAGGACTTCTTTGATTTGCCAGCCTTTCTACAGATGCGCCCCTGTGTGAGAGGGAAGAGAAACCAGGTTAGAACCCCGGCAGGAATCCTGTTTCCCATCATCTTTGTTAAGACTGGCAAAGTTGTGGCCCTTCCTAATGCCTGAATTAGTGTGATGCAAGAAGAGATACGGAGCATTACAGCTTTGGTACCAGGCGGATGGAGGGGTCCAGTGGCTGGCAAGCTTCTGGGACAGGGGAGAGGCGGGGGGCTGCTGTCTTCACAAACCCGGGCACTGGCTTCTTCCGCACATGCTCCTCCCAAGACACCGGAAAGCATCCTCCACCAGTTCCAGAGCCGGAGGGCCAGCTTTATCCAAGAGCACCCCTGCAGGACCCATCGCGCCCTCTCCAAGGCAGATACCGCCCTAACTTCCTTCTCTCCCACCAAAGATGCCTTTAATTATACCTTTCAGTTCCTCTTCAATAATAGTAGAGATTTCTATGTTTACATATACATGAGCATATCTATATATTCACACACACATTTTAAAAATCTGACTTTTAAAATTCAAGCTCGGGAACACTCCGTGGATTTCTCATGTCATGTCCCTGGGAAGCCGCTGGTGGGGGAGGTCTGTCCTCAAGTCCCGTGAGGGGGTAAAGGTAAAGGGCCAGTGATTTCTCACACAAACTTGGGAGATGGGTGGGGGCCCAGGTAGCCTCTTGGGCACATTTCCTTGCACTTGACTTCCCTTAGCCCCTCCTTGAAGACCTGCTGGCCTTTCTCAGCGTCTCATGCGTGCGTTTGTTGCTAGGGTGGAAACGTTCTAGAAAGACTTGGCTGAGTTCCCTCCACGGGCAAGTGCATGCATATATTCCCCATGCATACTACTACAAACTTCTTCTAATTTGCTGCTTGGTTCACATCAAGTGAGCTGCTAAAAGGGTGAAGGAAGACTGGACACTGCCACGTACTAACTTCTAGAAACTTCCTCACGTCTCACCAGGACATGACTCCTAGTTTTAATTTTATGATTTCCTCTGTTGCTTATGTGGTATACTTATACTCGGTAAAAGGGGACCAGCAAAAGCTAATACATTTGTAATCATTATCATGGGCTGAGATCAAAGTCCAAAGTTACTTCATTAAACATATGCAAATGCAACTTGTAGGCATATCAGCATCAATTTCTTCATGAGTAAGAGCAAATATTATGTGTTTTTTTTTTTCATGAAATGAACATTCTAATTACCTCTATGATTTTTTTCTGTAATACTGAAAATTTATGGTGTGATTTGAGAATCCTGAACTAAAAGCAGTCAAATACAGATTCATGATAATCTTGAAATGTTCTGTTGGCTTTTGGATGAACATATACACTGCCTATTGTTTGTGAAAGTCCCAATTGTTACAAAAAACAACAGACAAACCCCAGTGAACAGACTACTCTTTGTGGCCTGGGAAGAATTATGAACATAAAGTGTCAGTGCCCAGTCTATTCAGCAACCAGGAGACAGCGCCTGCTGTCAGCTAGTCAGAGGTCTCCACGCCTTCACTGCACTCAGCTGTTACAAAGAACTCTGCTCTCCTCTCCTGTTTCCTACACCCCATGTCACAGTTAACAGATACGTTTTCATAGATTGCCTGCCCTCCACTGATTGGCTATTTAAGTATCATCCAGTGAAATACTGAGCTTGAAAACGACCATTTGCATTTCCTGGCTCTGCCAGGGTGGCTGAGCTTTTTGCTGAAATGCCCATGAGGTGCCAACTGAGCCAGGAAGGGGAGGATCGCGCCATCCATCCAGGGCCTCTGACGTCCCCTGGCCATGCTGCTGTTGAACTGGTTCCCATTCTTACTTCAAGGGTCCAGTTTCCTGGAATCTGGACTTTGAGGAAACCTTCAGCCTCACTGCTCTGAGTCTGTATTTTCCTCTGTCAAGTGGGGACAATAATCACTTCACAGTATCACTCCGAATGTCAGAGAAGACACTGAATTTGGAAATACTTTGAGAATTTTTAAGTATGTACAGTTAATTAAGAACTATTTTCCTTATTCTTATAACATACATATTTCTCCCTTGTCTGTTTCCATTTAACTAATAATCAAAGAGTCTATTCTAGGCATTTTTGTTAAAATAACTCTTATTTCTTTTAAAATACCTACTTGTATTGAATGCTGAAAGACCTGGATGTTAGAATTACTCAGACCACTGTGATTCCGTTGTCATTAGGAGGTTAGATAAGTAAAGACTCTTCTGAGCCACAGACTGTAAATGTAAAATTATGAACAACGTAGGACTTTCCCCCAAGAATCTGAAGAATCTCAGCATAATATGGATGCAGAACAGTGCTAACGAGAATACAGCTCTCTGGGGTTGCGTCTGTCAAACAAAGCCATAAGTTGGTACTTTGGTTTGACCTTTTTGGGGCTGATCACAATGGTCAACATGAAAACATTTCTACACAGCTAATAAGTTTCCCCAAACTCAGGTCCTCAGTTCAGCCAAAAGATCTTTCGGGATTTTTATTACCCCAATGTGCATATTGAATTTCAGTCTGGCTCTGTCCCTTCTGCATTTCTCTCATCCATCCATCCATCCATCCACCCATTCATCCACCCATTCATCCACCCACCCACCCATCCATTATGTTGGGTGCTTAAAAGACAAAGCAATCCTACCCTCGAGGGCCTAGATCCATCATGGAGAGTGAATTGCATATGTTACAGCTGCTGAGACAGAAGGGGCAGATCAGGGTTGCTCAGCCTCAGTACTATTGATGTCATAGGCTGGAGAATTCTTTCTTGTGGGTGAGGGAGCGGGCTGTCCTGTGCATTGTAAGATGCTTAGCAGCGCCTCTGGCCTCCACCCACTAGATGCTAGCAGCATAACTTGAGTTATGACAACCAAATTGTCTCCAGACATTGTCAAGTGTCCCCTTGAAATCACCCCTGAATAAGAACCACTGATGACGGGCCAGCCCTAGCCAGTTTGGCTCAGTGGATAGAGCATATGCCTGTGGACTTAAGGGTCCTGGGTTTGATTCTGGTTCTGGTTGGGGGCACATGCCCGGATTGTGGGCTTGATCTCCGGGAGGGGGGGGGCGGGCGTTGTGCAGGAGTCAGCTGATCGGTGATTCTCTCTCATCATTGATGTTTCTATCTCTCTCCCTCTCCCTTCCTCTCTGAAATCAATAAAAATATATTTAAAAATCAAAACAGGTGGTCCAGAGCAAGGAGGAGTCAGATCATTCTCTGTTTGTTTAGCAAATAATTGCTACAAGTCTTCCCCATTAGGCACTGTGTTGGTTACTGGGACTGCAGCACTGTCCAAGGTGGGAATGAGTCTGGTTCTCATACAGCTGAGGGGAGGGGTGTGTGTGTGGAGAGAAAGTCTACCATGGGGAGAAAGAAAGGAAAAGGTGGGGAGAGGGGTAGTGTCAGCTGTCTGTGCATCCAGAATGATTTCTATGTCTAATGACCCTTGAGCTGAGCCTTGAAATATGTGTGGGTAGGTGTTTACCAGGCCCTAGAGGTGTGGGTAAGGGGTCCCAAAGCAGAGGTTGAAACAGCCAGCTATATTTAGAGAATGATGGGCAGACACTTGGTAAAGCTATGGCACAGAGTACGGGTGTGTCTGTGTGTGTGTGCATGTGAGTATGAGTGTGGGTGTTGTGGCGGGGGGTGCAGAATTCAACAGACCTGGCTTCAAATCCCTGCTCCAACACTTCCTGGCTGTGTGACCTTGGGCGAGTTACTGTAAAATAAGCATATAATAGTATTATATGACACTGGATTTTTATAAAGACTTAATAAGTTAAAGCATATGATATGCTGGGCACAGTGCCAGGCACAGGGCAAACACAATAAATACTGCATTTTATTTTTTAAACTATCAGAGGGTCTTCTCCTTTGGTAAAGTTAGTTGCATTATTCCCTCTTGATAAAAATACAAAAAAAATGTCTTTTTTTGTTTAGATATTATGACTTGGTTTATTTGGTCACAAAAATGTCTTTAGGCAAGTCCAATATTTGGAATTTATGTGGCTAATTTCTCAATCTTTTCAATAATGCCCATTTTAACAAATGCATTCATTCTATATTTCTCCCTTGGTTAGATTTTTCTTCTTACTTTTTTTTCTTTACAAACCTTCATGGCACTTTTGTGTGTTATTTACCTATGAATTACAGCCTTCTGCTCCTTTAAAAATAACTTTCCAGACAATTCATGTAAACTTTTGAAGTTCCTTCACTCATTTCCTGGGCTGAATTGCAGAATAGCTATTTGTTTTCAAGGTCTTAGAAAGTGTAATTGATAGTCTAATGGCACTTATAAACCCTAACCCCTGCGACGTGGGTTGCAAACGTGTGTTGGGCTCCTTTCAGGCAAGGCAGCCTTCCTGGAGGAGGTTGTTCAGGAGCTGGATTCAAAGGTCAAGTGGAATAATCCAGCCAGAAAGCAGGAAGCCAGGAGGAGCTCCGGGCATTTGTGTCCAGGTGCTCCTGGGAGGAGAGAGAGGCAGGAGGCAGGAGTAGGAGGCACAGTAGTTCCTGGGGCTGTAGGAATAGTGTCATAGTGTGTGGCTTCAAACAACAGAAATTTATATTCTCACAGCTCTGGAGGCCAGGAGTCCAAAACCAAGGTGTGAGCAGCGCTGCTTGAGGAGGCTCCAGAGGAGAATCTGTCCCACGCTGCCCCCTAGCTTCTGGTGGTTTGTTGGTAATTGTCAGAGTCCCTCTCCCTGGTCTCTGTCTTCATGTTCCCATGGCCTTCTCCCTGTGTGTCTCTGTCTCCGTGTCAAATTCCCCCCCCCCTTTTTTTTTTTAACCCGGACACACCAGGCATCCCATTAGGGCCCATCCTATTCCAGGATGGCTTCATCTTAGCTTTACACCCACAAAAACCCAAATAAGGGTGCATTCTCAGGTGGGGGTGGGGAGGGCTAGGACTTCAATATGTATTTTTGGGGGACATATTCTCCCTTCTACAAGAGGTAAGGTTGCTAGAAAGGTCTTCAACCCCTTTTGGCAGCATCTGGAACTCTCCTGGGGGTGACAGA